GGAGAAAGAGAACTCTTGACTTACTGGAATTGAAGGTAATAGTGTAAATTCATGCTTTCTAGACTATGTGTATGTGAGTATACGTGTCTATTTGCACATATGTACTTGGATATAAATATATATGTACTGTATATGTGTGCATATACATATATATATGGCTTCAACATTTTCATGTTAAAATAAAAAGTTAATGGAGTTGTTCCACAACCTTTTTCAATCCCCTTCACACGTGTGTGCAACTGTGTGTATTTGTAGCTATGTGTATGTGCATGTATACATTTACCAGGTCTTTGTACTGGAAGAACCAAGAACCAAAGGCATCCTACAGTAGTGAGTAATTATTTGCATCTAGCATGCAGATCTTGACCTCTAATACCATTCCTCCTTAGGAAAATGGCTACTTCCAGGGCTGGGTTAGGATAGGTACAAGCTGAGTGTCGAACATTTTGTAAGTCAGAAACTAAGAAGTGATATTAATAAAGTCACTAAAGAGGAGGGGCATGGCATAATATGGACAAGCAAGCTTGAAGCAGCTTCCTCTGACTACAGAGGAGTTAATGGTAATTATGAATTAAAGACCATTGGGGTATAATAAGAATTCAAGAGTGCATCCTTGCTACCGATAATTAGTCAAATAAGTCAGGGTGATGGAGGGCCCAGCGCCAACGGGGAAATGGGAAGGAAGAGCTGGGGTGGGAAATAACCATTTGCAGTCATTTGATCAGGCGAGAACCATGTGGATATTCGACTGGGTAGGAAGTGGCTTTTGATGAGGGACAAGATATCAGACAACATCTTGTTGAGGTGATGAGAATTCATATCATTCGGGAGGGACAAGTGGGAGTCCTGAGCATGCAGATGTGACACCGACGTCATTTCGAGCTAGGGAATTGTAACCTGAATCTAATCATGAGGAAACATCACTGAATCACGAAATGAGAAATGTTCTCTTTTAAAATAAATGAGGGAAAGCGAGTTCTTTGAAAGTATCAAAAATACAGAAGGATTGGGGAAATTTTCCAGATTAAAAGAGGCCCAAAAAAGACATGGCAAATAATGCCATGCCCAACCACGGACTCTCTCCTGCAAATAATGCCATGCCCAGCCACGGACTCTCTCCCGTCACGGAGGGGAACCTGTGCTCAAGCACTTTGCTGACTCAAACGACAAAACCGGGGCAGGAACAGCAGACTTGATGTGATATGCATTCCTATTCAATTCACCGACATTGACAACCATACTGTGACCATGGAAGCTGATATCCCTTCGCTGAGCCGTGATCCGTGTATCTACAGATCGTGCGTGCGTGCGTGCGTGCGTGCGTGTGCGCTGTTTATATGGAGAAAGAGAGGACAAGAACACAAATGGTATAAAATTATAATCGCAGGTGGAGATGGGTCAAGGGTGGTCTTTGCACTATTTTCACACTTGCGGCTTCTCTCAAAGTTTACAACTATGTGTAAAGAAAAAGTGAGAAACCACACTGGGCTTCTTGGCCCTTTGAAGAGCTTTTGGTTTGACTGCTGTTGATAAATGCTTGGACCTCTAATCACTGGGAGGAGACTGGGGAGGCCTTGTGATCTAGAAGAAAGGGAGGGGCAAGTACAATTTTGCGCAGGGCTCCGTGCAGCCCACCCTACAGAGAAACGCCTTCATCACCGACCAGAGGGCTCCCTGCTCTCCGAACCCGCTCAAAGCAACAGCTAAAACCTCACAAGCTACAGACCAAATCTGACTCTGTTTTAGACTCAGGTTTTTGTTTTGCTTTAGCGCCCACTTTCATTTAATGAAAGTCCTTTATTTTTAATGTTTTCTTTTGATAGATTCTGAAAACATATTCAGACATCAAGAGTGTGGGCTTTAAAAAAAATATTTAAAAGAGGGTGAGCTTTTTAATGGCAAAATCTTAGCAAGGTTCATGCCCCCTCTTAAAAAGGAACTCTTCTCTTTTTAATTACGGTAAAATGCTGTGAAACAATTTCCAGTCACCGACATATTCACACACAGGATTCTAATCATGGAAGCAGTGGGTGGTAACCCGGCCTGCCTGGTGACACGGAAAAAGACTCATATGAGCCCCATCAGTCAAGGCGTAAAACCATTTTGGCTCTCATTATGGCTATATGGAGGAAATATTTTTATGTTTTAATTTAGAGCTATGCCTCCAAATAGCAGAGGGCTCAGTTAATATACTGAAACAAGATTCTCCCGCCTTGCAGATTTGCGTGGGGAATGGCTTACAGCTGACTTTCTAAATAGAAAGCTACATTATTAATGATACACCACTAGATCTCAGCTGAGCAAGAAGGAGGCTGGTGGTAAAATTAAAATAAAATATTAACAAAATTGACTTCCCCCCACAGTCAATAATCAGTAATCAAAACCAACTGCCTGGCAGTGCAGGAGGCCTATTTAATTTGTAGCTTTCCTCAGCACCCCCATCTCTCATCACCAGGGCCCACTTGAGTTGCTTTACGGGCTGAGGTGACGAGACTCCGCCATTACTAACAGGCTTTTTGCAGCTGCCAAAGAACTCCGGGTCAGAGATGGGGTCCATGAGGTAGGATCGGATGATATTAGCCCGTAAACCTTTCGGCGCTTCGTTGGTCATTTTCACCCCGTTCTGCAGCACAGACACGGGGAAATTTGGAGATGGGTAACTTGTCAGCCACACTCGGAAATCTGGATGCGTGGTTTCCGGACTTAGCTCCTGTAAGAGAAGAGACAGGCACAACAGGGTGAACATGCCCCCCCCCCCCAAGCAATCTCTCATAAATGATT